TCTTGGCAAACTCGTGCAAATCAACCGATCAAGACATCCGACACGAATGTTATCTCTCATTAAGCATGTGCCCTCACAACACAAGAGAATTACCCCATGTTCACTCATAAGATTTCCAAAGCACTACATAATCCATCGGTACCCTTAGGTAGGGTCAAACTGGTGCTGAGGTGATTCGAGTCTTCAACTCTTGGAAGCTCTTCTCACAAGCCTCCGACCATTGAAGCTTCACTTTCTTTTGGGTCAACATAGTTAACGAGGATGCAATTGATGAAAACCCCTCAAAAAATCTCCAATAATAACCATCTAAACCCAAGAAACTCTTGATGTCCAAAGGACTCACTGGTCTAGGCCAATTCTTCACTGCTTCTATCTTTTGAGAGTCCACCTATACACCCTCGCTTGACACCATATGACCCAAAAATGCCATCGAGTTCCACTAAAACTTGCATTTACTAAATTTAGCATACAACTGGTGATCCTTAAGAGTCTGTAGCACCACCCTCAAATGAGTGTCATGCTCCTACTAGCTCCGAGAGTATATAACGATGTCATCTATGAATACAATCACGAACATATCCAAGTATGACTTTAAAACCCTATTTATCAAGTCCATAAAAGTTGCAGGAGCATTTGTTAGTCCAAAAGACATAACTAAAAACTCGTAGTGACCATACCGTGTCCGTAAGGCTGTCTTCGGGATGTCACTTTCCCAAACACTAAGATGATGGTATCTGGATCTGAGGTCTATATTTGAGAAACACATGGCACCCTGGAGCTAGTCAAACAAGTCATCAATCTTGGGGAGAGGATACCTATTCTTGATGGTCACTTTGTTCAATTGCCGATAATCCATAAACATATGAAGCGAACCATCCTTCTTACAGACAAAGAGAACTGGTGCACCTCACTAGAATTTGCTAGGTCTGATGAAACCCTTGTCTAAGAGATCTTTCAATTGCTCCTTCAACTTCTTTAACTAGGTTGGGGCCATTATGTAAGGAGGAAGAGATATAGGTTGGGTACTGGGAAGAAGGTCAATACCAAAGTTGATCTCTCGCTTGGGAGGAATCCCCGGTAAATCATCTAGGAACACTTCTAGGTACTCACATACTACAGGAACTGACTAGATTGTCAGAGTTTCGGACGTAGCATCCTTAACCCTAACTAGATGGTACACGCAACCCTTAGAATCATCTTTTTGGCCTTAAGGTAGGAAATGAAGTGACCTATAGGCACAACTGAACTACCCATCCACTCTAGGACTGACTCACTCGGAATCTGAACTCTACTGCACGGATTCTACAATTGACTAAGGCATAACATGCACGTATCCAATCTATGCCAAAGATAACATCAAAATCTATCATGGTTAACTCTACTAAATCTGCTGAGGTGACTTTCTGAAGGACTGTGATCGGGAAATTTCTAATACCCGTCAAGCTATAATTGAATCACTGAATGGAGTAGAGACTGAGAAGGGTTCTGCTAAGATTTCGTGACTAACTCCTAAACTACTAGAAACATAGAGAATCACAAAAGGTAAAGTAGCCCCTAGATGTAACAATGCATATACATCAAGGTGAAATACTCGTAACATACCGTGACTACATCTAAATCGGAGAAGCCTAAATCTGTGTCAGAGATTTCCTTTGTCCAGAATGAGCATCTACATATGTCCTTCCATAAAGGGGCTTTCCCAATCTATCTAGCTTTGGTGTGTTCTTTGCTTAATTAAAGGGCATCCCCCTTCTACTATCTCTCTTACCTACCACAAGAAAAGAGGTTGTGCGAGCCTTTCCCCTTCTTCTCCATTCAGCATGGCTACAACCAGACAATCTTTTTTTTCATTTAACGTAGGGCAGTTCATTTCATTTCCACATTCAGTTGATGCTTAGATTCACCCGTTCAGAAAGTGTATAGGTAGGGTACTAAGAAAGGAAGTTGATCATGGGTTACCAATAAGTCTAAAATTGATTCTTCCTAGGTCGATGCATGAGTGGTTAATAGGGATGGACTGTAAATTCATTGGCAGTATGTCTACGCTGGTTCAAATCCAGCTCAGCATAATCCATCCCTGGCATTCAAAAGAAAGGGGGAAAGGGAGAGTTAAAAGCACTATGTAGATAAAGATCGAGAGCCTGCGGACTAGAAACAACGGGCCATCACTACTCACAACGGATTGTGGGATGCCCCGTGGTGTCCCCATCAGCCTAAGTTCAGCCATTCCTTTGACCGCTAACAACGACTTATTATTCCTAACAACGAGTCGTTACACCTTTTGTTGTCACTACTGCCTCCCTGAACTCCCATACCACGACTTCGTACGACGACTCGCGGTATCCAACACTGAGTCGTTGAGTCGCTCGTCCTGAGATATTTTTATCAGTTTTCTGAACTTCTCAAATTCATCTCCCGGGTCTATTCTTAGGCCTTCCTGGGTTATTACAATATCTCTCCCTTTGAATCATTCATCCTCCAATGTAGGAAACAAGAAGAAAATAGAAACATATAATTTATCATAGCCATATACAGATCATTTTAACCGAAATTTTTATGGGATGACTACCTCCAAATAAAACCAAATAGCTGAACTGATATCACACTTCACATACACATTCATACACATAAGAGAAACTTGTACACATGAACTGAACATGAAAACTAGGTAGAGTCATGTAATACCCCGAAAAGGCCTAAGAATAGACCCGGGAGTTAAAATTAAAAAGTGCAAAAAATTGGCAAAAAATATCATAGGACAGATGACCCTACGACTCGTGGTAGGATACCATGAGTAGTCATATACAGTCATGATTTAGGTTGTCAGGGAATTAGAGGAAACAATGGATGGTACAACGATCTGTTGTAAGGAACAACGAGCCGTTGTGACCAGTCATTAGGAGGTTTGGACTTAGGCTGAGGAGGAAGCAAATTCCATGATCCGTGGTGAGAGACAACGACCCGTTGTTTCAATTTGTTACTAGTTGGTTGAAGTTTCTAGTGCATTCAACGGATGGAAACCAAGACTAGTTGGAAGTCACAAGGAGTCGTGGTGAGGCTCGTGGAAAGGGGAATCAGATTGGTCAAGGAGTTGACGACGGTCGATTCAACGACCCGTGGTTTGAAGTAACGACTCGTCCTGACGAGTCGTGGGAAGGGATATGAGATGTGTTATAAAGCAGTGCACCTGATGACTCGATACCATGAGCCGTGGTATGTTTCCACTACTTGTTGGGTCGGTCGTTGGTCCATCCCGGACAATTTTTAGGAAAATTATTTTAAGGGTATTTTCGACCTTTCCACCTTTATAGCCCCTTAAATATGTCATTTTGGATGTTTTCTGAATATGATAATATGAGTTAAGTCCTTTAGGCATGCCCATTCTTATGCAAGGATTCTAGAGAGGTTTTTGGGAGATTCAAGGCCTTCTTCCCGAAATTTTCTTCAAAATTCTTTGTGGGTGTTGAAGGAACTTCAAGTCTCTCCATTCCCAGGTATATAGGGTTTTAAAATGGGTAGAATTCTTCCTCACCCATGCCCAATTTCGATTAAAGTCATGAATTCTCTTACTCAAATTCCATGAGGTTTTACCCAAAGCATGTCAATGTGATTTCTCCTTATAGGTATGTTTTAATTGAGTTTTATTTATTAAAATATGCATGTTGGGCAGGTTTAGTATTATTCTCTTCAAAATCATGTTTCAATCTTTTTAAATCTAAATTGCCCATTTATGGAAGTTCATGGAAATCATGATTTATGATGAATATTCATTATTTTAAGTTT